GCTAGCTACAGTTAGCTAGCTAGCCAACACTTGGCAAGCTAGCAAACTCTAGCTAGCTAGCTAACTACCTATGCTAAATTGTCCAGCAGAATTCATTTATCCAAAAAAGCTAAACCAATTGCATGGAAAACGTACTTTCTCGACCCAGACCTGTGACATTAAATGAGAATTCTGGATCCGGACCTGCTTGGGTCCCGGGTATTCGGGTACAGGTGGATCTGTGAAGACCTCTACCCTGTGGCGCCCTTCTGTCGACCTCAGCCACCTGAAGAAAGAACAGCAAGAGCTGGTGAAGAACTGTACGAAGAGTCTGCAGCCTGGAGCCACGTGGAGATGGAGACATCGGGTGTATCCCCAGTCTGCAGCCTGGAGCCCGAGAGATGGAGACACGGGTTATCCCCAGTTGCAGCCTGAGCCCACGGGGAGATTGAGACATCGGGTAGTATCCCCAGTCCTGCAGCCTGGGCCCACGTGGGATGGAACATCGGGTGTTTATCCCCAGTCCCTGCAGCTGAGCCACGTGGAGAATGGAGACACAGGGTGTATCCCCATCTGCAGCCTGGAGCCACGTGGAGATGGAGACATCGGGTGTATCCCCAGTCTGCAGCCTGGAGCCACGTAGAGATGGAGACATCGGGTGTATCCCCAGTCTGCAGCCTGGAGCCACGTGGAGATGGAGACATCGGGTGTATCACCAGTCTGCAGATGGCCATCAAGCGCCTGCTGCTGAGGGTGGATCGTCCATATCCCTCTGCGCCTGCTGTGTGTGTCTGTCATATAGACGGGACCCCTACAACTGTGCATCAACTACAGGGCTATTTAATCAGAAGACCGCCATCTCACTGCCTTCATCACACCCTGGGGACTCATCGTGGGTGAGGATCCCCTTTGTGCTGACGAATGCTCCTGCAGCATTCAAAAGGGGGCATGGAGGAGATGCTGGACTCAATGCGCGACGATGTATCCCTCAACCTGGATGACGTTCTCTGCTACGCCAAGTCCTTTGAAGATCATGTGGAGGGAATGCGGAGAGTTCTGAGAGCGCTACAACGCCACGGGGCGAAGCTGAGACCAAGTGTGAGCTGTTCAGGCGGGAGGTCAGATACGATTAGCAGATGGAATCAGGATCGACCCGAAAGACCTGGAGGGAGTCCGAGCCCTGAGAGATCAAACCCCCAACACCATCAGAGGTTTTCACAAAATGCTGGGATTCCTAAGCTACTATCAGAGCTACATCCAGCTGAACCACGTTAAGAACTACTCCCAGTGAAAGGTCACACAGCAGAAGTGTCAGCTGCCAAGCCATGCAAAGAGAAGGGGAATGGTGCCCAGTTGCCATCCAGAACTCCAGTGAGATGGACGGAGGAACACCAGACTAATCCTGGCCTATCCCGACTTTGACCGAATCAAATCAAATTGTATTTGTCACATGGGCCGAATACAGGTGTAGACCTTACCATGAAATGCTTAGTTACAAGCCCTTAACCAACAATGCAGTTCAAGAAATAGAGTTAAGAAAATATTTACTAAATCAAATAAAGTAAAAAATTAAATAAAAAGTAACACAATAAAATAACAATAATGAGGCTATATACAGGGGGTACCGGTACCAAGTCAATGTGCGGGGGTACAAGTTAGTTGAGGTAATTTGTACATGTAGGTAGGGGTAAAGTGACTATGCATAGATAATAAACAGAGAGTTGCAGCAGCGTAAAAACAAAGGGGGGGGGGGGTCAATGTAAATAGTCCAGGTGGCCATTTGATTAATTGTCTTATGGTTTGTGGGTAGAAGCTGTTAAGGAGCCTTTTGGACCTAGACTTGGCACTCCGTTACTGCTTGCTGTGCTGTAGCAGAGAGAACAGTTTATGACTTGGGTGACTGGAGTCTTTCACAATTTTTTGGGCCTTCCTCTGACACTGCCTAGTACAGTCGTGGTCAAATGTTTTGAGAATTACACAAATACTAATTTTCACAAAGTCTGCTGCCTCAGTTTTGATAATGGCAATTTGCATATACTCCAGAATGTCATGAAGAGTGATCAGATGAATTGCAATTAATTGCAAAGTCCCTCTTTGCCATGAAAATGAACTTAATCCCCAAAAAACATTTCCACTGCATTTCAGCCCTGCCACAAAAGGACCAGCTGACATCATGTCAGTGATTCTCTCGTTAACACAGGTGAGAGTGTTGACGAGGACAAGGCTGGAGATCACTCTGTCATGCTGATTGAGTTAGAATAACAGACTAGAAGCTTTAAAAGGAGTGGTGCTTGATATCATTGTTCTTCCTCTGTTAACCATGGTTACCTGCAAGGAAACATGTGCCGTCATCATTGCTTTGCACAAAAAGGGCTTCACAGGCAAGGATATTGCTGCTAGTAAGATTGCACCTAAATCAACCATTTATCGGATCATCAAAAACTTCAAGGAGAGAGGTTCAATTGTTGTGAAGAAGGAGTCAGGGCGCCCAAGAAAGTCCAGCAAGCGCCAGGTCTGTCTCCTAAAGTTGATTCAGCTGCGGGATTGGGGCACCACCAGTGCAGAGCTTGCTCAGGAATGGCAGCAGGCAGGTGTGAGTGCATCTGCACGCACAGTGAGGCAAAGACTTTTGGAGGATGGCCTGGTGTCAAGAAGGGCAGCGAGGAAGCCACTTCTCTCCAGGAAAAACATCAGGGACAGACTGATATTCTGCAAAAGGTGCAGGGATTGGACTGCTAAGGACTGGGGTAAAGTCATTTTCTCTGATGAATCCCCTTTCCGATTGTTTGGGGCATCCGGAAAACATCTTGTCCGGAGAAGACAAGGTGAGCGCTACCATCAGTCCTGTGTCATGCCAACAGTAAAGCATCCTGAGACCATTCATGTGTGGGGTTGCTTCTCAGCCAAGAGAGTGGGCTCACTCACAATTTTGCCTAAGAACACAGCCATGAATAAAGAATGGTACCAACACATCCTCCGAGAGCAACTTCTCCCAACCATCCAAGAACAGTTTGGTGACGACCAATGCCTTTTCCAGCATGATGGAGCACCTTGCCATAAGGCAAAAGTGATAACTAAGTTGCTCGGGGAACAAAACATCGACATTTTGGGTCAATGGCCAGGAAACTCCCCAGACCTTAATCCCATTGAGAACTTGTGGTCAATCCTCAAGAGGCGGGTGGACAAACAAAAACCCACAAATTCTGACAGACTCCAAGCATTGATTATGCAAGAATGGGCTGCCATCAGTCAGGATGTGGCCCAGAAGTTAATTGACAGCATGCCAGGGCGGCTTGCAGAGGTCTTGAAAAAGGGTCAACACTGCAAATATTGACTCTTTGCATAAACGTAATGTAATTGTCAATAAAAGCCTTTGACACTTAGTGGAATGGAATGGAATGCTTGTAATTATACTTCAGTATACCATAGTAACATCTGACAAAAATATCTCATAACATTGAAGAGCAGTCTCAGTTGAATGACCAGTCTTGAAACCTGACTGGTTTGGATCAAGAAGGTAATTCTGAGAGAGATAGCAAGAGAGTTGGCTAAAGACGGCACGCTCAAGAGTTTTGGAGAGAAAAGAAAGAAGGGATACTGGTCTGTAGTTGTTGACATCAGTGGGATCGAGTGTAGGTTTTTTGAGGAGGGGTGCAACTCTCACTCTCTTGAAGACGGAAAATGCATTGTTCGTCACCAAACTATTCTTGGATGGTTGGGAGAAGTTGCTCTCGGAGAATGTGTTGGTACCATTCTTTATTCATGGCTGTGTTCTTAGGCAAAATTGTGAGTGAGCCCACTCCCTTGGCTGAGAAGCAACCCCACACATGAATGGTCTCAGGATGCTTTACTGTTGGCATGACACATGACTGATGGTAGCGCTCACCTGACAAGCTTTTTTCCGGATGCCCCAAACAATCGGAAAGGGGATTCATCAGAGAAAATGACTTTACCCCAGTCCTCAGCAGTTCAATCCCTGTACCTTTTGCAGAATATCAGTCTGTCCCTGATGTTTTTCCTGGAGAGAAGTGGCTTCCTCGCTGCCCTTCTTGACACCAGGCCATCCTCCAAAAGTATTCGCTTCACTGTGCGTGCAGATGCACTCACACCTGCCTGCTACCATTCATGAGCAAGCTCTGCACTGGTGGTGCCCCGATCCCGCAGCTGAATCAACTTTAGGAGACGGTCCTGGCGCTTGCTGGACTTTCTTGGGCGCCCTGACTCCTTCTTCACAACAATTGAACCTCTCTCCTTGAAGTTCTTGATGATCCGATAAATGGTTGATTTAGGTGCAATCTTACTAGCAGCAATATCCTTGCCTGTGAAGCCCTTTTTGTGCATAGCAATGATGATGGCACGTGTTTCCTTGCAGGTAACCATGGTTAACAGAGGAAGAACAATGATTTCAAGCACCACCCTCCTTTTAAAGCTTCCAGTCTGTTATTCTAACTCAATCAGCATGGCAGAGTGATCACTGACATGATGTCAGCTGCTCCTTTTGTGGCAGGGCTGAAATGCAGTGGAAATGTTTTTGGGGGATAAAGTTCATTTTCATGGCAAAGAGGGACTTTGCAATTAATTGCAATTCATCTGATCACTCTTCATAACATTCTGGAGTATATGCAAATTGCCATCATAAAAACTGAGTAAGCAGACTTTGTGAAAATTTATATTTGTGTCATTCTCAAAACTTTTGACCACGACTGTAGTGTATCAATATATACACACTGTACACCACAGGAGGCTGCTGGGGGGGAGGACGACTCATAATAATGTCCAGAATGATTTAAATGGAAGGGCATCAAACACCTGGAAACCATGTGTTAGCTGTATTCCACTCCAGTCATTACAACGAGCCAGTTCTCCCCAATTAAGTAACCGTACACACAATGAAATCAGTACAAGCAAATGTTTTCCAGCTGGTAAAAGCTACTGCACTGATGCCGATACAACACCGCCCTCTGTCTTCCGCAGCATGCCATTGCAGGCTGCCATTATGGTCACGTGATGACAACACTGTAGTCAACGTAAACAGTCAGCTAGCGTTTTGCTAGGGAGCAAACTGTTCTTTGTGTTTGATAGCTAGTTTACTGTATTACCGCGTTATTACACGAATTAACGCGATTTAATGAGATATACCAGAACTTCGTAGATGTTTCTCTCTTAACGATTGCATTTGGTTGAAGAAGCCAGCTTTACCAACAAGAGAGCTTAGCTATCTAGGTAACGTTGGCTAACGTTAACTGTCTTGTGTAACGTTACCATGGACCAATACAGTATTTTGGGTAGAATAGGAGAAGGAGCCCATGGCATTGTTTTCAAAGCAAAACATATCGAGGTATGGATTAAAATCAGTTTCTTTGACTTAACTCAGCTAGCTAACTAGATGTCTACTGTAGATTGCTAGCTCTTCTTTGGCTCGCAGACAGTCAAGCCATCATCAGTAAATAGGAACTTCTCAACTTATGTTACCGTCTTTTCTCTGTCGTTTAGACTGGAGAGACCGTGGCTCTGAAGAAAGTAGCTCTGAGAAAGCTGGAGGATGGGATCCCCAACCAAGCCCTCAGAGAGATCAAGGCTTTACAGGAGATTGAAGACAACCAATACGTGAGTTATCGATATATAGCCTAAACCCCTCATAATGTTGCCCAAGTTCAATTGTATGATAGCACATGCAACCCCTCACATTTAGCAAGCCACCGCTAATCCGTGAGGTTGTACTACACTGCTACTCACTAGAAACACTTTCTTTCCATCCTCGTGTGTTGTCGTAGGTGGTGAAGCTAAAGGATGTGTTCCCCCACGGTACAGGGTTCGTCCTGGTGTTTGAGTACATGCTCTCCGACCTCTCCGAGGTCATCAGGAACTCCCAGAGGCCTCTCACCGAGTCACATGTCAAAGGTTACATGATGATGCTGCTCAAAGGGGTTGCCTTCTGCCACGAGAACTCCATCATGCACAGAGTGAGTGTTGACGCACAATGTCACGTCACTCCCGTTCTTATAAACACACACACATACACATTACTGTGTTGTTCCCTGGTTATACGCTATAATAAGGCGCTGTGTTTGTCTCTCTGCAGGATCTGAAACCAGCCAACCTGCTCATCAGCTCTACAGGTCATCTGAAGATAGCAGACTTTGGCCTGGCCAGACTCTTCAACAACGATGGAGAACGCCTCTACAGTCACCAGGTGGCCACCAGGTACACTACATACCATAGAAACCAGACCACCTCTACAGTCACCAGGTGGCCACCAGGTACACTACATACCATAGAAACCAGACGGCCTCTACAGTCACCAGGTGGCCACCAGGGACACTACATACCATAGAAACCAGACCGCCTCTACAGTCACCAGGTGGCCACCAGGTACACTACATACCATAGAAACCAGACCGCCTCTACAGTCACCAGGTACACTACATACCATAGAAACCAGACCGCCTCTACAGTCACCAGGTGGCCACCAGGTACACTACATACCATAGAAACCAGACCGCCTCTACAGTCACCAGGTGGCCACCAGGTACACTACATACCATAGAAACCAGACCGCCTCTACAGTCACCAGGTGGCCACCAGGTACACTACATACCATAGAAACCAGACCGCCTCTACAGTCACCAGGTGGCCACCAGGTACACTGCATACCATAGAAACCAGACCGCCTCTACAGTCACCAGGTGGCCACCAGGTACACTACATACCATAGAAACCAGACCGCCTCTACAGTCACCAGGTGGCAACCAGGTACACTACATACCATAGAAACCAGACCGCCTCTACAGTCACCAGGTGGCCACCAGGTACACTACATACCATAGAAACCAGACCGCCTCTACAGTCACCAGGTGGCCACCAGGTACACTACATATCATAGAAACCAGACCGCTTCTACAGTCACCAGGTGGCCACCAGGTACACTACATACCATAGAAACCAGACCGCCTCTACAGTCACCAGGTGGCCACCAGGTACACTACATACCATAGAAACCAGACCGCCTCTACAGTCACCAGGTGGCCACCAGGTACACTACATACCATAGAAACCAGACCGCCTCTACAGTCACCAGGTGGCCACCAGGTACACTACATACCATAGAAACCAGACCGCCTCTACAGTCACCAGGTGGCCACCAGGTACACTACATACCATATAAACCAGTTTGCCTGATTCACTGCAGGCTTTTCATGGGCTGTGATCTTTTTTTTCCACTAATTGGTCTTATGACCAATAACATCGGTACTTTTCACATCAGATCTTTTTCAGAGCTGATCTGATTGGTCAAAAGAAAAATGAGAGTGAAAATCAGAATTGTGCTGCCTGTGTAAACATTTACATTTACGTCATTTAGCAGACGCTCTTATCCAGAGCGACTTACAGTTAGTGCATACATTATTATTATTATTACTTAATTTTTTTCATTCTGGCCCCCCGTGGGAATCGAACCCACAACCCCGGCGTTGCAAACGCCATGCTCTACCAACTGAGCTACCTCCCTGCCGGCCAATTCCCTCCCCTACCCTGGACGACACTGGGCCAATTGTGCGCCGCCCCATTGGTCTCCCGGTCGCGGCCGGCTACAGCAGAGCCTGGATTCGAACCAGGATCTCTAGTGGCACAGCTAGCACTGCGATGCAGTGCCTTAGACCACTGCGCCACTCGGGAGGTCGCAGCCACGATGTCTTAGCTGAGGGAATCATTACTTACTTACTTAGGTCCAGCCCTTTTTGGGGAGCATAGGCCACCAACGACTCCCCTGCCATCGCACTCTGTTCAGAGCGGTCTTCTGTTCAGAGCGGTCTTCAATAATGATCATGTTCTGTATATGTTTTTCAGGTGGTATCGAGCACCAGAACTGCTTTATGGGGCAAGGAAATACGACGAAGGTGTAGATCTCTGGTAAGACGATTCCATTTCTCATGTCACTGATTGATTGATTAATTAATTGATTAATTAAATCTATCAAAAAAATATTAATTGATTTGATGCTTGCATTGATATCATATCCTGTAATAACAGTTCAGTGAGAGTGCATAAAGAGAGAGCTCAGAAATTCAGCCATTTCTTATCATCTACTGTATATACAGTTGAAGTCGGAAGTTTACATACACTTAGGTTGGAGTCATTAAAACTCGTTTTTCAACCACTCCACAAATTTCTCGTTAACAAACTATAGTTTTGGCAAGTCGGTTAGGACGTCTACTTTGTGCATGACACAAGTAATTTTTCCAACAATTGTTTACAGACAGATTATTTCACTTATAATTCACTGTATCACAATTCCAGTGGGTCAGAAGTTTACATACACTAAGTTGACTGTGCCTTTAAACAGCTTGGAAAATTCCAGAAAATGATGTCATGGCTTTAGAAGCTCATCTGTACAAACAATAGTACTCAAGTATAAACACCATGGGACCACGCAGCCGTCATACCGCTCAGAAAGGAGACGTGTTCTGTCGCCTAGAGATGAATGTACTTTGGTGTGAAAAGTGCAAATCAATCCCAGAACAACAGCAAAGGACCTTGTGAAGATGCTGGAGAAACAGGTACAAAAGTATCTATATCCACAGTAAAACGAGTCCTATATCGACATAACCTGAAAGGCCGCTCAGCAAGGAAGAAGACACTGCTCCAAAACCACCATAAAAAAGCCAGACTACGGTTTGCAACTGCACATGGGGACAAAGGTCGTACTTTTTGGAGAAATGTCCTCTGGTCTGATTAAACAAAAATAGAACTGTTTGGCCATAATGACCATCGTTATGTTTGGAGGAAAAAGGGGGACACTTGCAAGCCGAAGAACACCATCCCAACCGTGAAGCACGGGGGTGGCAGCATCATGCTGTGGGGGTGCTTTGCTGCAGGAGGGACTGGTGGACTTCACAAAATAGATGGCATCATGAGGAAGGAAAATTATGTGGATATATTGAAGCAATATCTCAAGACATCACTCAGGAAGGTAAAGCTTGGTCGCAAATGGGTCTTCCAAATGGACAATGACCCCAAGCATTCTTCCAAAGTTGTGGCAAAATGGCTTAAGGACAACAAAATCAAGGTATTGGAGTGGCCATCACAAAGCCCTGACCTCAATCTTATAGAAAATGTGTGGGCAGAACTGAAAAAGCGTATGCGAGCAAGGAGGCCTACAAACTTGACTCAGTTACACCAGCTCTGTCAGGAGGAATGGGCCAAAATTCACCCAACTTATTGTGGGATGCTTGTTGAAGGCTACCCAAAACGTTTGACCCAAGTTAAACAATTTAAATGCAATGCTACCAAATACGAATTAAGTGTACAGTCGTGGTCAAACGTTTTGAGAATGACACAAGTATTGGTCTTCACAAAGTTCGCTGCGTCAGTGTTATGAGATATTTTTGTCAGATGTTACTATGGTATACTGAAGTATAATTACAAGCATTCCATAAGTGTCAAAGGCTTTTATTGACAATTACATTAAGTTTATGCAAAGAGTCAATATTTGCAGTGTTGTCCCTTCTTTTTCAAGACCTCTGTCAATTAACTTCTGGGCCACATCCTGACTGATGGCAGCCCATTCTTGCATAATCAATGCTTGGAGTTTGTCAAAATGTGTGGGTTTTTGTTTGTCCACCCGCCTCTTGAGGATTGACTAGAAGTTCTCAATGGGATTAAGGTCTGGGGAGTTTCCTGACCATGGACCCAACATTTTGATGTTTTGTTCCCCGAGCCACTTAGTTATCACTTTTGCCTTATGGCAAGGTGCTCCATCATGCTGGAAAAGGCATTGTTCGTCACCAAACTGTTCTTGGATGGTTGGGAGAAGTTGCTCTCGGAGGATGTGTTGGTACCATTCTTTATTCATGGCTGTGTTCTTAGGCATAATTGTGAGTGAGCCCACTCCCTTGGCTGAGAAGCAACCCCACACATGAATGGTCTCAGGATGCTTTACTGTTGGCATGACACAGGACTGATGGTAGCGCTCACCTTGTCTTCTCCGGACAAGCTTTGTTCCGGATGCCCCAAACAATCGGAAAGGGGATTCATCAGAGAAAATTACTTTACCCCAGACCTCAGCAGTCCAATCCCTGTGCCTTTTGCAGAATATCAGTCTGTCCCTGATGTTTTTCCTGGAGAGAAGTGGCTTCCTCGCTGCCCTTCTTGACACCAGGCCATCCTCCAAAAGTATTCGCCTCACTGTGCGTGCAGATGCACTCACACCTGCCTGCTGCCATTCATGAGCAAGCTCTGCACTGGTGGTGCCCCGATCCCGCAGCTGAATCAACTTTAGGAGACGTCCTGGCGCTTGCTGGACTTTCTTGGGAGCCCTGACACCTTCTTCACAACAATTGAACCTCTCTCCTTGAAGTTCTTGATGATCCGATAAATGGTTGATTTAGGTGCAATCTTACTAGCAGCAATATCCTTGCCTGTGAAGCCCTTTTTGTGCAAAGCAATGATGATGGCACGTGTTTCCTTGCAGGTAACCATGGTTAACAGAGGAAGAACAATTTCAAGCACCACCCTCCTTTTAAAGCTTCCAGTCTGTTATTCTAACTCAATCAGCATGACAGAGTGATCTCCAGCCTTGTTCTCATCAACACTCTCACCTGTGTTAACGAGAGAATCACTGACATGATGTCAGTTTGTCCTTTTGTGGCAGGGCTGAAATGCAGTGGAAACGTTTTTGGGGGATTAAGTTCATTTTCATGGCAAAGAGGGACTTCTGACCCACTGGGAAAAGCTGAAATAAATCATTCTCGCTACGATTATTCTGACATTTCACATTATTAAAATAAAGTGGTGATCCTAACTGACCTAAGACAGGGAATATTTACTAGGATTAAATGTCAGGAATTGTCAAAAACTGAGTTTAAATGTATTTGGCTAAGGTGTATGTAAACTTCCGACTTCAACTGTAACAGTAGATCAGATGGCAGTAATGATGAGGGTTTTTCCTGTAGATCAGATGGCAGTAATGATAAGGGTTTTTCCTGTAGATCAGATGGCAGTAATGATGAGGGTTTTTCCTGTAGATCAGATGACAGTAATGATGAGGGTTTTTCCTGTAGATCAGATGGCAGTAATGATAAGGGTTTTTCCTGTAGATCAGATGGCAGTAATGATAAGGGTTTTTCCTGTAGATCAGATGGCAGTAATGATGAGGGTTTTCCTGTAGAGCAGATGGCAGTAATGATAAGGGTTTTTCCTGTAGATCAGATGGCAGTAATGATAAGGATTTTCCTGTAGATCAGATGGCAGTAATGATGAGGGTTTTCCTGTAGATCAGATGGCAGTAATGATGAGTTTTTTTCCTGTAGATCAGATGACAGTAATGATGAGGGTTTTTCCTGTAGATCAGATGGCAGTAATGATAAGGGTTTTTCCTGTAGATCAGATGGCAGTAATGATAAGGGTTTTCCTGTAGATCAGATGGCAGTAATGATGAGGGTTTTCCTGTAGAGCAGATGGCAGTAATGATAAGGGTTTTTCCTGTAGATCAGATGGCAGTAATGATAAGTATCTTCCTGTAGATCAGATGGCAGTAATGATGAGGGTTTTCCTGTAGATCAGATGGCAGTAATGATGAGTTTTTTTTCCCTGTAGATCAGATGGCAGTAATGATAAGGTTTTTCCTGTAGATCAGATGGCAGTAATGATAAGGGTTCTTCCTGTAGATCAGATGGCAGTAATGATGAGGGTTTTCCTGTAGATCAGATGGCAGTAATGCTAAGTTTTTTTTCCTGTAGATCAGATGGCAGTAATGATAAGGTTTTTTTCCTGTAGATCAGATGGCAGTAATGATAAGGGTTTTCATGTAGATCAGATGGCAGTAATGATAAGGATTTTCCTGTAGATCAGATGGCAGTAATGATACGTTTTTTTTCCTGTAGATCAGATGGCAGTAATGATGAGGGTTTTCCTGTAGATCAGATGGCAGTAATGATGAGGGTTTTCCTGGTTCCACTAAAGACAAATCAAATCAAATGATGTCTCTATTCGGCTGCGTTTACACACTATTCTGATATTATTATTTATTGTTTTGACCAATCAGAGCTGCTCTGAAAAAGGTCTGATGTGAAAAGATCTGATGTGATTGGTCAAAAGACCAATTAGTGAAAAAAAAGATCAGAATTGGGCTGCCTGTGTAAACAGAGACTTCTAGTCTGTGGATATATATGGTCTAAAGGTGATGATATCTGTTGGTTTAGCTGCTTTCACCTACCTGATGCTTAACCCCAATCCTCTTCTGTCTGTGCTGTGCATCCACAGGGCAGTGGGGTGTATCTAACCCCAGTCTTTTCTGTCCACAGGGCAGTGGGGTGTATCTAACCCCAGTCTTTTCTGTCCACAGGGCAGTGGGGTGTATCCACAGGGCAGTGGGGTGTATCTAACCCCAGTCTTTTCTGTCCACAGGGCAGTGGGGTGTATCTTTGGAGAACTTCTGAATAGCTCCCCTCTGTTCCCTGGAGAGAATGACATTGAACAGCTGTGCTGTGTTCTCAGAGTCCTGGGGACACCCAACCAGCGCATGTGGCCGGTGAGCCTGCTCTCTGTCCATCTGTCCAACTGTCCAACTGTCCATACACACAATATGAGGGATATTCTACTGAATATTCGGTAGCAGTGGTGGAAAAAGTACTCAAAAGTCATACTTGAGTAAAAGTAAAGATACCTTAATAGAAAATGACTCAAGTAAATGTGAAAGTCACCCATTAAAATACTACTTGAATAAAAGTATTTGGTTTTAAATATACTTAAGTATCAAAAGTAAATGGAATTGCAAAAATATACTTAAGTATCAAAAGTGAAAGTATTAATAATTTCAAATTCCTTGTATTATAAGAAATCCCGCTATGCCCTCCGACGAACCATCAAACAGGCAAAGAGTCAATACAGGACTAAGATTGAATCGTACTACACAGGCTCTGACGCTCGTCGGACGAGGCAGGGCTTGAAAACTATTACAGACTACAAAGGGAAGCACAGCCGCGAGCTTCCCAGTGACACAAGACTTCAAGACGAGCTAAACCACTTCTATGCTCGCTTCGAGGCAAGCAACACTGAAGCATGCATGAGAGCACCAGCTGTTCCGGATGACTATGTGATCACGCTCTCCGTAGCCAATGTGAGTAAGACTTTTAAGCGGGTCAACATTCACAAGGCCGCAGGGTCAGACGGATTACCAGGACGTGTACTCCGAGCATGTGCTGACCAACTGGCAAGTGTCTTCACTGACATTTTCAACATGTCCCTGACTGAGTCTGTAATACCAACATGTTTCAAGCAGACCACAATAGTCCCCGTGCCCAAGGACTCTAAGATAACCTGCCTAAATGACTACCAACCCGTAGCACTCACGTCTGTAGCCATGAAGTGCTTTGAAAGGCTGGTCATGGCTCACATCAACACCATTATCCCAGAAACCCTAGACCCACTCCAATTTGCATACTGCCCCAACAGATCCACAGATGATGCAATCTCTATTGCACTCCACACTGCCCTTTCCCACCTGGACAAGAGGAACACCTACGTGAGAATGCTATTCATTGACTACAGCTCAGCATTCAACACCATAGTGTCCTCAAAGCTCATCACTAAGCTAAGGATCCTGGGACTAAACGCCTCCCTCTGCAACTGGATCCTGGACTTCCTGACGGGCCGCCCCCCAGGTGGTAAGGGTAGGTAACAACACATCTGCCACACTGATCCTCAACACGGGGGCCCAGTCATCCTGACTGGTTGCATCACCGCCTGGTATGGCAACTGCTCTGCCTCCGACCGCAAGGCACTACAGAGGGTAGTGCGTACGGCCCAGTACATCACTGGGGCCAAGCTTCCTGCCATCCAGGACCTCTATACCAGGCGGTGTCAGAGGAAGGCCCTCAAAATTGTCAAAGACTCCAGCCACCCTAGTCATAGACTGTTCTCTCTGCTACCGCACGGCAAGTGGTACCGGAGCGCCAAGTCTAGGTCCAAAAGACTTCTCAACAGCTTCTACCCCCAAGCCATAAGACTCCTGAACAGCTAATCATGGCTACCCAGACTATTTGCACTGCCCCCCCACCCCATCCTTTTACGCTGCTGCTACTCTGTTAATTATTTATGCATTGTCACTTTAACTCTACTCACATGTACATATTACTTCAACTACCTCAACTAGCCGGTGCCCCCGCACATTGACTCTGCACCGGTACCCCCCTGTATATATAGCCTCCCTACTGTTATTTTATTTTACTTCTGCTCTTTTTTTCTCAACACTTTTTTGTTGTTGTTTTATTTTACTTTTTTATAAAAAATTAATGCACTGTTGGTTAAGGGCTGTAAGTAAGCATTTCACTGTAATGTCTGCACCTGTTGTATTCGGCGCATGTGGCCAATACAATTTGATTTGATTTGATTTATTATGCAAACCAGACAGCACAATTTTATTTTATTTAAAAAAAAATACGGATAGCCAGGGGCACACTAAAATGCTCATACATTAATTTACAAACAAAGCATTTGTGTTTAGTGAGTCCACCAGATCAGAGGCAGTAGAGATGACCAGGGATGTTCTCTTGATAAGTGCGTGAATTGGACCATTTTCCTGTCCTGCTAAGCATTCAAAATGTAACGAGTACTTTAAGGGTGTCAGGGAAAATGTATGGAGTAAAAAGTACATTATTTTCTTTAGGAATGTAGTGAAGTAAAAGTAAAAGTTGTCAAAAATATAAATAGTAAAGTAAAGTACAGATACCTAAAAAACAACTTAAGTAGTACTTTGAAGTACTTTACACCACTGTTCGGTAGTAGTTATAAAAATGGGTTAACTGTCTGTCAATCAAAACAAACGTATTGTCTTAATGTTACTCTGTGCATTCTGCATCATTCAGTCCAGTCAACTGCGAGCATTCTGAATGAAATGAAATCAATTATTGAATTTAATTGAAGGAGCTTGTGTGATTCTAGAGGACATTCATTGTCTGTGTCTGTCTCTTTGTCAATTCAGTTCAATTCAATTCAATTTAAAGGCTTTGTTGGCATGGGAAACATATGTTAACATTGCCAAAGCAAGTGAAGTAGATAGTAAACAAAAGTGAAATAAATATTAACAGTAAACATTACACTCAGATGTTCCAAAAGAATAAAGACATTTCAAATGTCATATTAAGTCTATATACAGTGTTGTAACAATGTGCAAATAGTTAAAGTACAAAAGGGAAAATAAATAAACATAAATATGGGTTGTATTTACAATGGTGTTTGTTCTTCACTGGTTGCCCTTTTCTTGTGGCAACAGGTCACAAATCTTGCTGCTGTGATGGCACACTGGTATTTCACCCAGTAGATATGGGAGTTTATCAAAATTGGGTTTGTTTTCAAATTCTTTGTGGATCGCTGTAATCTGAGGGAAATATGTGTCTCTAATATGGTCATACATTTGGCAGGAGGTTAGGAAGTGCAGCTCAGTTTCCACCTCATTTTGTGGGCAGTGTGCACATAGCCTGTCTTCTCTTGAGAGACAGGTCTGCCTACGGTGGCCTTTCTCAATAGCAAGGCTATGCTCACTGAGTCTGTACATAGTCAAAGCTTTCCTTAAGTTTGGGTCAGTCACAGTGGTCAGGTATTCTGCCACTGTGTACTCTCTGTTTAGGGCCAAATAGCATTCTAGTTTGCTCTGTATATTTGTTAATTCTTTCCAATGTGTCACGTAAATTATCTGTTAGTTTTCTCATGATTTGGTTGGGTCTAATTGTGTTGTTGTCCTGGGGCTCTGTGGGGTCTGTTTGTGATTGTGAACAGAGCCCCAGGACCAGCTTGCTGAGGGGACGCTCTAGGTTCATCTCTCTGTAGGTGATGGCTTTGTTATGGAAGGTTTGGGAATAGCTTCCTTTTAAGTGGTTATAGAATTTAACGGCTATTTTCTGAATTTGGATAATTAGCGGGTATCGGCCTAATTCTGCTCTGCATGCATTATTTTGTGTTTTATATTGTACACGTAGGATGTTTTTGTAGAATTCTACATGCAGAGTCTCAATTTGGTGTTTGTCCCATTTTGTGAATTCTTGGTTGGTGAGCGGACCCCAGACCTCACAACCATAAAGGGCAATGGGTTCTATAACTGATTCAAGTATTTTTAGCCAGATCCTAATTGGTATGTCGAATTTTATGTTCCTTTTGATGGCATAGAAGGCCCTTCTTGCCTTGTCTCTCAGATCGTTCACAGCTTTGTGGAAGTTACCTGTGGCGCTGATGTTTAGGCCGAGGTATGTATAGATTTTTTTATGTGTTCTCCAGGGCAACGGTGTCTACTTGGACTTAAAGGAAGGGAAGCACTGCTAAGGTACACAATAGTAGGTTTTGGTAGACAGAAGGTGCTCTTTGGTAAAAGGGGTCAGTTGCTTATCGTAAAGAAAGGAGGTCCAAGGCTCTTCGTATAATTCATTAAAATGCCTTTGCTGACATCTAGTGGACATTTGGCTCTAATGCCCTCATTTGTGTTTGGACTGCTGTGGTCCATGTTTACTGTGATCTGGTGTCCTATACAATAGACGGCTCTCCTACTCTTAACACTTTGCCCGGTCATATTCAAGGTTAGAACAACTTTTCTCGGAGTTCTGATGCTTTTAGCCTTGAGTTGCATATTTGATAACATATCTACAGTATTTCACTTTTTTAAAGTGTTATAGTATTGCTTACTAGGTGTTGTCCAATGAATGATGTAACCACTCCCTCTTCAAATCAGGGTTGATTAAAAAGAGGACATTGTATTGTCATATCTTTGTACTCCCTGACGAAGGCCATGGATCTTTTTTTAGAACTCCATTATTTTGTCTTATTTTTGTCTCACTGAGATTTACTGTCAGGGCCCAGGTCTGACAGAATCTGTGCAGAAGATCTAGGTGCTGCTGTAGGCCCTCCTTGATTGGTGACAGAAGCACCAGATCATCAGCGAACAGTAGACGTTTGACTTCAGATTCTAGTAGGGTGAGGCCGGGTGCTGCAGACTGTTCTAGTGCCCCTCGCCAATTCGTCTCTCTCTCTCTCTCTCTCCCTCTCTCTCTCTCTCTCTCCGCAGGAGATCACAGAGCTGCCTGACTACAATAAGATCACCTTTAAGGAGAACCCTGCCATCCCTCTAGAGGAGATAGTCCCTGATACCTCGCCTCTGGCTGTGGACCTGCTCAACAAGTTCCTGGTCTACCCCTCTAAACAGAGGATCAGTGCCAGACAGGTCAGAAACCGTTATAGAATAACAGAATATAACTTCCCAAAAGCTGTATAGAAATGAAGCTTTTTGTTTGCGTTGATAGATTAAAAAAAATATATACTTTAAAAATGGTTATCATCCTCAACTGTCTACCATCCCGTTTTGAAAGTTGAAAGCCAAAATGAGAGCCTGGTCATTTCAGATCTGTTTGTGCTGTCTTGCCGACTCCTATAGTCCATGTCTAGTGCCAAAGATCTGGGATGACCAGGCTAGAAATGAGAGGTTAGAACAGAAGTTCAGTCTGTCTCACACCCCCCCCCCCCCCCCCCCCCCCCCCCCCCCCCCCCCCCCCCCCCCCCACCCCCCCCCTCCCCAGGCCCTGCTCCATCCCTATTTCTTCTCTGAGCCCCTGCCAGCCCACCACTCGGAGCTGCCTATCCCCCAGCATGGAGGGAAACATTCCCGTCAGCGACTCCAGCCTCCTGTAGAGTTCTCTGTAGATCTGCCCCTCTCAGAGAACCTGGTGGACCCTGCTTTGGTCCAGGGACACGCCTGGTGTCTGTGACTGACTGGCCTCCATGCTTTTCATAGCCTGGGTAGGAGTAGCACTATGTTTGACCGTCAGAGCCTGATGTTACCTGCTCTGGTCCAGGGACACGCCTGGTGTCTGTGTCTGTTCTTCATGTTCGTCCTAGCCTGCTTAAACCAGGGGTGTATTCACTAGAAACCAAACGGGACCAAACGGAATTTGTCCAATAGAAACCTTTGTTCTCGTTGCAAATAATTTTCCCGTTGCAAAACGTTTCGCAACGGTGTACGACTAATGAATACAACCCAGAATGTAGCCTGATGTATCCTGCCCCGGTCCAACGACACGCCTGGTGTCTATGACTGACTGTTCATCCTAGCCTGAGTCCAGATCTGTTTGTGCTGTTTTGCCAACAGAATTTGCTGTCATTGTTATGGGCGTGGAGTTGGCAAGACAGCACAAACAGATCTGGGACTCAGGTTATGTTAATTGCACCATATAATATTTATATTGGTATTACATTATCTTTGTACATAAGATGCGGCAGGTAGCTCAGTGGTTAAGAGCGTTGTGCCAGTAACCGAAAGGTAGCTGGTTCTAATCCCAGAGCCGACTAGGTGAAAAATCTGTCATTGCCCTTGAGCAAGGCACTTAACCCTAATTGCTCATGTAAGTCGCTCTGGATAAGAGCGTCTGCTAAATGACTAAAATGTAAATGTATGAAAGCCATGTGTTTCTTCATCAGTGTGTTCATGTTGCGCTGTGTGAGACAGTACTGCCAGCCGGCTGCCTCTTGCTGCTCATTGATACACTTGTTATCAGAGTTCAGCAGACATCCCTCCCTATAGTCCTCCATCCACCCCTACTCCCTACAAACCCATCTGAAGACTCATGTCCTCTCTAAAGCTCTCTCCATTGTCCCTCCCTATAGCTCCATCCATCCACCCCTACTCCCTACAAACCCATCTGAAGTCAGTCTCCTAAGTCTCTCCATTGTCAAAGCTCCTCCATATAGTCCCTCCCATGTAGCTCCCATCCTCCCCCTTACTCCCTACAACCCAGAAGACTCAGGTCCTCTCTACTCTCTCCCATGTCCCTCACCTATAGCCTCGCATCATCCATCCCCTTCCTTCCCTTTACAACGACCATCGAAGACTCATTCCTCTTAAGTTCCTCTCCCTTGTCCCTACCTTAAGCTCCATCCATCCTTCCCTACTCCCGTACAACCATCTGAAGACTCTGTCCTCTCTAACTCTCTCCATTGTCCCTCTCCCTATAGCTCCATCCTCCCTACCCCTATTCCTGTCTCCTACACTAACCTCCATCTCCTAATACTCTGTCCCTGTCTCTAAAGCTCTTCCATGTCCTCCCTATAGTCCATCCATGTCCCCCTACTCCCTACAACCCTCTGAGACTCTGTCCCTCAAAGTCTCCCTTCCTCCTATGTTCCTTCTCTGTCCTACAACTAGAGGCCTTCAGCAGTCTCCTATCCATCCATTCCCCTACTCCTACAAAACCCAACTGTAGCTCCCTATTCCTCCTTGTTCCCTGTCTCTGCCTGTACAACGTAGAGGCCTTCAGCAAGTCTCCCTCCATTTTGGCCTGCAGGATAGTGTGCCACTAATCCTCCATTTTGGCCTGCGGGATAGTGTGCCACTAATCCTCCATTTTGGCCTGCGGGATAGTGTGCCACTAATCCTCCATTTTGGCCTGCAGGATAGTGTGCCACTCAGCCAGCCTGGCATTGTTCAAAAGCTATAAAGGAAACACTGCTGATATCTGTCTATAGCATGCAAAGGCAGACAGCTTGGTCTGGTCTAGGTGCTATTTATAGAACTATACTGGTTATCTTTCATTGTCATGACTTTCACATATTGCTATTTTGACAATGAGACTTTGGCGTCTTAATGGATATTCTTGTACTGTAGTATGCAAAGAAACATGCTTCTATAAATGTGGTCTCTAAATACATTTTACATTTTTAGTCATTTAGCAGACGGTCTTATCCAGAGCGACTTACAGTCAGTGTAAAAAGATGAGTGTACATCGATGTGATTGATACAGGTGGATTGAACTGCTATGAAGTACTTTGCAATGCTTTATCCTATAGAATGATTTGTTAAATTGGTGTCCACCTCATTTTCGAATGTTGCTATTGGCACCGCAAACAAACGGAATCGATGGATCCGACTTCCGCTTTACCTCCATATGCGTTGGCAAATTTGCCGCAGTAAATGATTCGAAGGAGTCCATTTATAGGGCATCAAAGTACAGTAAACAGGTGTAGCGATAAACTATAGGGCTACCTAGCCTAACTATAAAACGTCTGTGAGCATCCACAGTAGAGGAACGTTGATCATTCTATAGTCCTACACCTGCCAATCAACTGATTAACGCATCCTAGGCTACTATTAATGAGGTGGTAACAGGACAATTCAGTGCTTTCAGTGGGTTTTTATTTGTCATAGTGACAACAGAAAATAATAAGCTACTTCAATGTACAAACAAATAATATAGTAACTCGTATTTAGATGGAACAATTCAACAACAAACGCCATTTGGCCTGCTCATCTTTTACAGCACGTCAACATTGCCTCGTTGCTTAAGTGGTTTGCAAGTCATTTCAATTTTTTCACTGTGCTCATTTCTCAGTCTGTCCAGTGCAACTATTTGCAATGCATCAGTGCAACGATGTTATATAACCAGCCGAAAGTGATCACACCAATACACTTTCTCTCCTCAACTTTCCCCAGCAGTTAATTTGGGTAATGCTGTCGGCCTGTTTTACATGCAGTAATTAGCAAGAGCAAGCCTGGTTCTTTCCCTGAAATAAGCTATTAGGCCTAGTATCAAAAATGGATCAGAATGTCCTGTAGCATTTGTAGCCTGTAGCATTTGTAGCCTGTAGCTTTTCCTGGGATTTGACGAGAAGAAGAATGGCCTATTGCGGAGAGGCTTGCGTAACCTATAGCCTGTTGCACACTGGAACAGCTGGAAGAAAGAGGCTAGTGATGTTAGGCTAAATATTTACCTGTCAAAGTGCAAGAAAGAAAAGTTAACAGATTACGAAACGGCAGATCTGTGCGTTCCTCCAAGGTCCCCGGGCACGCAAAGCTCCACTATTGATTAGGCCTACGTTTTTAGACAAGAAAATGATTCTACTTGGGCTACAGCAGCACAGTGCAATGAGGAATGTATTATTGTTATCAAGTGAGTACACAATTATTGTCTTGAGGCTGTGCAGTGATGTAGGCTCATTTGAATAACCTCTCAAACGTCCTGTTTTTGTTTTAAGCCAACTGCATTGCCTACAGCCTGTTTTACATTCAGCAAGAGCGAGCGTGCGTCTCTCCTCCAATAGGCTATTAGGAAAGAAAATGTCGAAATAACTTGTCCAACAAGCTTTGTAGTCTGGCCCGAGGCTGCGGAGAGACCAAGTGCGTAATTGCGCAACAGAACAATGGAGACAGATGCTCGAAATGTTGCATATAGCCTCAATTAGAAAAGTATGCGTATTAGTCCATAATTCATCAACTCAATGTTAGGCTCAATACTTCAGTGAATATATCCAGTCAGTTTTACACAGCGAAAGAAAGAAAAGCTTAATCAGATAACTAAATCATAGGTAGCATACTGAGTGCCCTCCCTCCCAGTCCCCGGGCACGCAGCTCGAAAAGCGACCCTAATTGTTTCAGATTTATAGGGACAAGAAATGTATCCTACCTAAGCTACAACAACCCAATGTAATGAAGACTGTTGTTAATGCAGGGATTTCTAGTGGTGTGCATATGAATTATGATAATGCGTGAGCGCAGGAGGAAGTTGTCTCCAATCATTTCCCCGTTTTTTTTGGGCTTCTGTGTTTTTAAAAGCGTTCGAAAATGAGGTGGGGTCGTTCTGTGTTCAGCAGTTTTTTGTCGTAGCAATAATTACTTTGAAAGTGGCTGGACATACAGTACTATGTTATTTTAGTTCAAGTTCAAACCCCCCCCCCCCCCCCCCCCTCCCTCCTGGCCACCTTTTCTAATTTCCCTGGAAGCTAAATAAACTAAGGAGAGGGGACGATATCCGCTCAGTCGGTACACTTTGGTTAACAAATGACCTGTATAGTTCCAGCCTATAGTGTCCACTATAGAAAAGCCGTATTTCTCTGTGTGATTGCAGAATTTGTTATGTTTTGCATCACTGCTCCCCCACTCCACTGTTTTGGGTTTACCGTTTAAGATGAACACTTTTCTTTCAATTGTTTTATTGTCTGAGTTCAGAAAATGGTTTTTTATTGGGAATCAATCACCAAGTGTCTTATGAATGTTTACCAATAAGAAATATACATTTGGATCACATGTACTTTTTTTATTATTTTTTATTTTTTTGACTCTGACTATAGTGTTGCTAGATTAGTATACCATCAACACTACACTTTTTAAGGATAAAAACAAAACAAGGGAACGGTGTTATAGTCAGTGTATCAGTGTATAGCATAGGTTTGCTGGTTGCACCTTAACTGGGGAGGAAGGCTCATAGTAATGGCTGGAATGGAAATTCATGGAATTGTATCAAACATACATGTGGTTGATACCATCCCATTCACTCCACTCCAGCCTCATTATAAAGCAGTCTTCCCCTCAGCAGCCTCCTGTTGTGAATAGCTAAGACACATAGGCTGTAGTACAATAAAAAAAAATTTGATACTATGTTCAAATCATGTTCTACTATTAGTGATACTTGTAATACAGTGTTGTGGTAACAGGAAGATGTGGTTGGTTCCCCTGAGAAGTCTGACTTGGTTCCCCTGAGAAGTCTGACTTGGTTCCCCTGAGAAGTCTGACTTGGTTCCCCTGAGAAGTCTGACTTGGTTCCCCTGAGAAGTCTGACTTGGTTCCCCTGAGAAGTCTGACTTGGTTCCCCTGAGAAGTCTGACTTGGTTCCCCTGAGAAGTCTGACTTGGTTCTCCTGAGAAGTCTGACTTGGTTCCCCTGAGAAATCTGACTTGGTTCCCCTGAGAAGTCTGACTTGGTTCCCCT